TTTTTAATCATTTTATTTTTATCTTCTTATACACTTTTTTTCTTATATTCCTGTTTATGTAAAGCTCTTTGAATTGCTATCGAGTATAAAATGTGCTATATAAATAAACTTGCCTTGCTATTGACTTAGATAGTAGGAAAAAAATACTATGGAGATCAGTGTTTACTGATGTCACAACATTCTTCAAAATATCTTCTTACACGTTTGGATCAATTAAAGGGTGATCCAAATACTTTTAAAATACTAATTAAAAATACTAAATACTTTTAAAATACCAAATATACCAAATACTTTTAAAATACTAGTACTTTTCTGTCAGCTATCCTCTTAAACAAATTCCCCAAAACACAGTTTATGTAATAAATCAATGAAACAGAAGTTCCTTGTTTTCTCTTTATTGTGTTCTGTTATTTTACATCAGCATAAACACAGACTGTGTCACCATCTATGAGGAGTTATTGCATATGAGAGATGAAAACAGAGCACAGTTAATACCACGTCAGTCACAACTGGGTAAAATGGACGATTTAAAGAACCGATCGGTTACTGTGAATTATTGAATGTGGGACAAAAATCACATAAATAACTGAGCGCTGTACTTCTATAAGCAGACACTGATTTATAAACAGCACGGAGATGCTTCATTTATTTGATTGACTGGAACACCTTGTGGGCCACCTGCAGAAAACAAACAAGAAAAAACAATTTTAACCAAATAACGTTCATAGAAAAATACTACAAACAGCAGATTCATGAACAAAAATCTGTTACACAAAATAACAAAAAAAAAAAAAAAAAAAAGAAAAAAAAAAGGAGCTGTGGCAAATAATCATTAGAGAAATCTAAAATTATCAAAATACATAAGAATTCTCTATAATACTATAATATTCACTATAATCAATTACAAGCTCTACACTTGATTAATTTTTAACAACAGAGGGCACTCTAGGATAGTTTTTAGATTAAATATCACTCTAGGCTAGATTTAAACATTAGACAAAACCATATTCTAGTTTTTAACAGCAGATGGTGCTCTAGATTAGTTTTTAACCGCAGACTGTGTTCTAGGCTAGTTTTAAACAGTAGATGGAGGTCTAGGCTATTTTTGTAACAGCAGATGGTGCTCTAGGCTAGTTTTTAACAGTACATGGCGATCTAGGCATTTTTTAACAGCAGATGGAGATTTAGGCTAGTTTTAAACAGTAGATGGAGCTCTAGGCTAGTTTTTAAATGGTGCTCTAGGTTTATTTTATCAGAAGATGGCTGTCTAGGTTAGTTTTTAACAGCAAATGGCACTCAATGCTAGTTTTTAACAGTAGATGGTGATTTAGGCTAGTTTTTAACAGCAGATGGTGCTCTAGGCTAGTTTTTAACAGTACATGGCGATCTAGGCATTTTTTAACAGCAGATGGAGATTTAGGCTAGTTTTTAACAGCAGATGGAGCTCTAGGCTAGTTTTTAAATGGTGCTCTAGGTTTATTTTATCAGAAGATGGCTGTCTAGGTTAGTTTTTAACAGCAAATGGCACTCAATGCTAGTTTTTACCAGCAGATGGTGCTCTAGATTAGTTTTTTAACAGCAGACGGTGTTCTAGGCTAGTTTTAAACAATAGATGGAGGTCTAGGCTATTTTTGTAACAGTAGATGGAGCTCTAGGCTAGTTTTTAAATGGTGCTCTAGGTTTATTTTATCAGAAGATGGCTGTCTAGGTTAGTTTTTAACAGCAAATGGCACTCAATGCTAGTTTTTACCAGCAGATGGTGCTCTAGATTAGTTTTTTAACAGCAGACGGTGTTCTAGGCTAGTTTTAAACAATAGATGGAGGTCTAGGCTATTTTTGTAACAGTAGATGGAGCTCTAGGCTAGTTTTTAAATGGTGCTCTATGTTTATTTCATCAGAAGATGGCGCTCTAGGCTAGTTTTTAATAGCAAATGGCACTCTAGGCTAGTTTTTAACAGCAGATGCGCTCTAGGCTAGTTTTAAACAGCAGACGGTGCTCTAGGCTAGTTTTAAACAGTAGATGCGCTCTAGGCTAGTTTTTAACAGCAGATGCGCTCTAGGCTAGTTTTAAACAGCAGACGGTGCTCTAGGCTAGTTTTAAACAGTAGATAGTGCTCTAGGCTATTTTTGTAACAGTAGATGGAGCTCTAGGCTAGTTTTTAAATGGTGCTCTATGTTTATTTCATCAGAAGATGGCGCTCTAGGCTAGTTTTTAATAGCAAATGGCACTCTAGGCTAGTTTTTAACAGCAGATGCGCTCTAGGCTAGTTTTAAACAGCAGACGGTGCTCTAGGCTAGTTTTAAACAGTAGATGGTGCTCTAGGCTAGCTTTTAACAGCAGATGGTGCTCTAGGCTAGTTTTTAACATCAGCTGGTGATCTAGGGTAGTTGTTGACAACAGATTGTGCTCTAGGGCTAGTTTTTAACAGCAGATTGTGCTCTAGGGCTAGTTTTTAACAGCAGATTGTGCTCTAGGGCTAGTTTTAATAGCAGATGGTGCTCTAGGCTAGTTTTTAAAATTAAATATATTACTCTAGGATAGTTTTAACACCAGGTGCTGCTCTAGGGCTAGTTTTCAACAGCAGATGGTGCTCTAGGCTAGTTTTTAACAGCAGATGATGCTCTAGGCTAGTTTTTAACAGCAGATGATGCTCTAGGCTAGTTTTTAACAGCAGATTGTGCTCTAGGCTAGTTTTTAACAGCAGATGACGCTCTAGGGCTAGTTTTAATAGCAGACGATGCTCTAGGCTAGTTTTTAAAATTGAATAAATCACTCTAGGCTAGTTTTAACACCAGATGGTGCTCTAGGCCAGTTTTTTAAAATTTACATGGTGCTCTATGCTAGTTTTTAACATTAAATAATTGCTCTAGGCTAGTTCAACAGCAAATGGCAATCTAGGCTAGTTTTAAACCACACACTCAAATGCTAATGAGAAAAAGCACTTGTGTGTTTGGCAAGAGAATTAAAACTGAGTAAAATGGTTAAATAAATATAGATGTGACACATATTTGTTCTCTCTGCATTTAAAAACATATCTGTAAACAGGTCACCAGCATCATAGAAAAGCGATCACAGACATTTAATATGCAGATATATATATATATGTGAGCAGCGATACTCACACAGTGGTCTCGGGCATGCAGAAAGTCGAAGAGCTCCTCCGTACAGTCTTCTGTTGTTTGTGAGCGCGAGTTCACCCTGGTCTCGCAGGACTCGAGCCGCTCGCGAGCATGAGCACAGTGCTCCGTCTCCTCACACTTCTGCCTCACTGTCTCTAGAGGATCCTGCATAGGAAATAGTCAGAGTTATTTTTGCTTCGCAATGCATCATTATGAAGATGAATGAGACACGTTCTGTATCTTGGGGGTCAAATTTCTTCAAAACTGAAGAGTATAAGTTCAATCATTCTAGCGTTTAAATGATTAGTTTACCTCCACAATAAACATTTCTAAACTGCAGTTTTAATGCAGCTTCAAGAGTCTTACCTAGTGAATTAGTGTGTAATTTTAATGATATTAATAATGATGATGATGAATGATGGACTAAACAAATAATACTATAAATACATAAATAAACACAAGTGGTGTTAAGGATCACAAATCTCATGGTTCGGATCACATTATGTTTTTTTTTTAGTCATGGATTGGACCGTTTTTCGGATCAGCCAAGGGGAGGAATAAATAATGGTTAAATAATGTAATTACTGCCTAAAACTTTCATTTTTGAGCATCAAGTGACGGTGTTTTTAAACTTCACTATGACCATCAGTAGTTTTATCTAAACTATAAACTGGTATCCCTGTACTGTGTTATTTGTCTGTCTGTACTTTCATAACTAAAGACCAAACACTGAATCTTTTTCTTGATTTTTGTGTTTTTTATACACAGATTTGAATGCAGCGATTTAAAGGATTAATAATCATATGCAAATCATCATCATTTATAATTTATGTTGCGTGGGTGTTGAGATCCTGATCTTTTACTGATTAATCGTGCAGCTTACACTGAATGCATTACTGCAGGCTAAAAAAGTAGTGACAGAAAACACCTTTAATAATCTAAGAAACCCTCCACATCCAGAATAACCTACCACAACAATACTGGGATGCAAGCTTTTGAGGTTATAATGTTATTAGGTAAATAAAAAGTTGTTTGCTTTTACTTTGGATTTTGGGAGAAAATTAATATTATGCTCAAGTACGATGGACCAAATACATATACATATTTGCACATATATAAGATATACCAGCCTGATCTCACGAGGAAACCTATGTATATTACGTTTTTTGAGTTTAGTGGCTAATTCGTACGAATTCATCCGAGTTCAGTCGTATGAAATTGTACGATTTTAAAAAGGAGACGTGGCACCTAAGCCCACCCCTAAACCCAACCCTCATTGGGTGATGGGCAAATCGTACTAAATTGTACAAATTAGATCATACGAATTCATACGAATTAGCCACTAAATCAAAAAGTTACAAATTGTCGTGAGATTGTGTTGGATACACAATATATATTTTAAAGAACTTTTACAAAACAAAACCACATAAAAAAAATTGAAAAGAACTGTTCCATGATCATTCAGTGTTTGAAACAAAATACCTATTCTGACCTGTACTTATTAAAATGCTAAAATAATAAGTCAACATGCTCAATTTAATCATATTTTAAATGATTAGAATTAACAATTTTTTGTTAACAAACGAAGGAACTTAGTAGTTTGAATGACTGTGACAAAAGTATAGACTTAAAATGTCTATAAAAGACCAAATTGTGATCTTTAATTCAGTCTTAAAACATGTCATCAAGTAGGTCTTGAACTAAATATGCCTGACATTTAAATTATGACAACACAATTAAAACATTCAACATAATAATAATAATATTATTAATAATAAAATGTTTATGTATAGCGCATTTCCATTATTCAAGGATGGTTTACAAAAGTAGCTAAATAATATAATTAAAAATCTAAACAATACAATATAATCTATATATGTCTGACAACATTTTTTAACATGTAAACTATTGTTATAGTAAATGCCATTTTAGTGAATCTCATCTGTAAATTGTGGCTTTAAAAAGGCTGTAAATATTCTGTATTTTCTTGCAGAGAAAAGGAAAATCAACAATATAAACTAATTTGTATATAAAAACAAATCATACAAGTGATATAGACTTATTATTATGTGTGAAACCCCTTCAAGTTCTTCAAGGCTTTCTATAATTATATTTTTGTATGAAGTGGCTTCACAGTACATTGATTACAGGGAAATCCTGAGGTCTTGATCAAGGACACAACAGTAAACATGTATTATCCACAAACCACTTACATAAGCAACTCATCATTTATAATTCACTTAAACAAATGTGTACATCATTAAAGAATACTGCTCAGAAAATGTACAATATAATATGATAGAAACATACCACCATTTCCTCTTCTTCCTCCTCTTCCTCCTCCTAAACAAAACAGTGTAACATATTAATAGGATGCAGCTATTATCCATAATTAAGAGACATACATACATACATACATAGTTAGAATGAAACTAAAACAACATAAATGATGCCTAGAATGATTTACAAAAGCAAGACAAAGGCTAAATCTCACATTTAGACAGTATAAATACTAGCATACATAAGCATTGGATCAACCTATATCTCAGGCTCGGCTAACATAAGTTAAACCAGACCATTTCGACAAAAAGCCGCTTCTTCATGCGGCTAAATGACAATTAAACCGCATATAAACAAAAAATGCTAATAATACCTCCTCTGGTTCTCCGTTCGTGATCATTTTGTCTTCGAAAACCATGATTTGACCGGAGTTTTTCCTGGAGTGACCCTCTGTGGACTGAGATATGCGCCGATGGAGGACAGCGTGACACTTTCCGGAAGTGGTAAGAGCTTAAAGAGTTTCACGCAAAAAGAGGCGATACACCTCTGTCAACTTCCGGTTCCCTGTGCTTGTTTGATTTTCTTCTCTTAACCTGAGTTGTGATGTTTTGCGGTCAGTGTTTGTTTATCAGTATTTGTTAACTGCTAACATCGAATTTTTGCATACAGTGTATGTTTAGTGAGAGACATATTGTATTACGCTATTTGCTGGCGTTTAAAATGGTTTGCTCCCATCTAGTGGTTTGGAGTATCAACATCAGTGAAGCCAAATAGAATAAAACGTGTTAAATAACATTTAAACACGATTGAATATGTTAAATAAACCAACCTGCGTATAATCTGAGTTATAATATGGAAAGTTAGGACTCTTTTAAGGCAGGCATGTCCAAACTTGGTCCTGGAGGGCCGGTGTCCTGCAAAGTTCCGTACAGCCCCGATCAGACACACCTAGGCTAGCTAATCAAGCTCTTACTAGGCTTTCTAGAAACATCTTTGCAGGTGTGTTGAGGGAAGTTAAAGCTTAAATCTGCAGGACACCAGCCCTCCAGGACCGAGTTTGGACACCCCTGTTTTAAGGTAATAGATCACCCGAAGATGGTTATTAGCGCTTAGGCCAGTGGTCTCAAACTCAATTCCTGGAGGACCACAGCTCTGCAGATTCTAGCTCCAACCACCTCTAAAATTACACCTGCTCAATAGACTCTGAAGCTGCGGTCACACTGGGCTTTTCCTCCCATAGACTTCCATTCATACACACGCGAATGCGTCAGACCGGAAACGCATGGTCATGCGTCAAGTTTCGTATGTCGCTGCGGTGCAAAGTTCAAGCTTGGTGAACTCTGACCTGCGAAATCCCATTACTTGACTGTGTGAGACCAATCGAGGATCAAAACATGACCTCTCTGGATATAAATTTAAAACATGGAGCAATCGCTCACTTTTTTAAATGCCTAATAAACTTGTTTAATCCCGCCCCTTTTCTCAGTGCCGCACGACAGAATATCGCATGCTCAAACTCTAATGTGACCGCAGCTTTATAGTCTTGATTTAATTGATTGAATCTTGATTATTTGGATCAGCTGTTTTTGGTAGGGTTGAAGCAAAACTGTGCAGAGCTGCGGCCCTCCAGGAATCGAGTTTGAGACCCATGCCTTAGACTATGGCTGTTTCCAGATTAATAAAGGGACTAAGCCGAAAAGAAAATGCATGAATAAATGAATGAATGAATGAATGAATGAATGAATGAATTTATATGATGCATTTTAGAGCAGATTAATTCAGTGGATGTAACATAACAAAAGGGCAGTAAATTTGAACAGTGCACAAGAGTTAATGACAAAATAAATAAACGATTATAAACAAAAACAGAACAAAAACAGATCACCTAAATAATCTTTTTGTTTTGCTTTTTTTGAACATTTACAACCATAAATGCCTTAGTAAATATACAAAATTCCCTATCAGAACGCAGACAAGCATAACAAATAATTAAATAAATAAATAAATAAATATAATGGGGTTTCAACAAGTTTAATATATTAATATTTAACAATCTCTTGATTAAGTTGGGGAAGGTTTAAAGGGATTCATTCATTCATTATCCTAGTCCCTTTATTCATCAGGGGTTGCCACAATGGACCGAACCGCCAGCTTATCTAGCAAATGTTTTACACAGCGAATGGCTGCAACCCTGTACTGGGAAACACCCATACACTCTCATACTCTACGGCCAGTTAAGTTTATTTAGTTTAAACCCACGCCAACACTGGAGAACATGCAAACTCCACACAGAAATGCCAAATTGTCCAGCAAGGACTCGAACCATCTGTGAGGCGACAGTGTTAACCACTGTGCCACCGTGCCGCCCCTAATTATAGTTTACAAATGAAAGTTCTGATATCAATTACTCATTCTAGACATGTTTGAGTTTCTTCAGATAAGCACAAAGGAATATATTTTGAAGAATGTTGGAAACAGAGAGCGTACATAGTATATCTGTTTTCCCACATGGCTACACATTACAATTGTCCAGCATTCAACAATACAACATTCTTCAAAATATCTTCGTTTGTGTTTAACAGTAGAAAGAAACTCGTATTTGAAACGGCTTGAGGTTGAGTAAATGGTGTGTACATTTTCGTTATTGGGTGAACTACCCCTTTAAATCGTTTACATCAGTGTAGATTCCCGCTTCCGCACAGGAAGTGGAATAAAAGTTGGAGCTCTAGCTCATCTAACTCGTGTCATTTTCCTTTCTATGTCCTTAACTGTGTCAAAGTTAAAGCCCCGGTGAAACACAGGCGATGACATTACGTTCGGGACATCACAGTCTATCTCAACAGCACACTCAGCAGCAACTTTAGTAGTTATGGAGAGTTTTAATTTGAAGCGACTTCATTTAGACATGAACGTCAACTGGACGCCGATGTTTGCAGCCACAGTTTGCGGCACAGGTGCGATATTTCTTTTCTGGAAATGGAGAAATAACCAGAAGATTCAGAATAAAATACTAAACGCGCGGAGAAGAAGAGATAAATCACTTGAGCAGGCTGAACAAGCGGTGCAGCGATTTAAAATACAGGTACAAAGCTAGCATTTATCTCAATAAAGTATGCATTCTGTCACACTTTTATGAGTATTCATGTGAAGAAAAGCAAGATTTATCCTGTAATTACAACACTGTAAATCTCTCTTCCGTCTATTTTGTGCAAAATGGTAAACAAACATGTTTATATGAATTTGTCAAAACGAAAAACACAACAAAACCTGTTGTTTATCATTTGGGTAATACTTTTAAGGTAACACTTTACAATAAGGTTCATTAGTTAATGCATTTACTAACATGAACTAATCATGAACAACACATGTACAGCATTTAATAATCATAATTGAACATTTACTAATGCATTATTAACATCCAAGTCCGTGCTTGTTAACATTAGTTAATGCACCATGAGTTAACATGAACTAACAATGAACTACTGTATTTTCATTAACTAATGTTAACTAGCATGAACAAATACAGTAGTAAATGTATTGTTCATTGTTTGTTCATGTTAGTAAATGCATTAATTAACATTAACTAATGAACCTTATTGTAAAGTGTGACCACTTTTAGTATATGTAACAACTCACAGTGCAAACTGCTGGCTTATTACTTGCTTAATATTATTTTATTAATTGTTTATTAACACTTATAAAGTATAATCTTATTCTACAACCCTACTCCATTACCTAAACCCATAATACTACCTTACTATTAATAAGCAGCTAATTAGCAGTTCATTGAGCTAGAAGTTAATAGTTAATTAACTATTAGTTAATGTCAAAAATTGTACCTTAAAACAAAGTGTGACCGTCATTTGTTTTCATTAATTTTAAATATTTTGTAAATTTGTAATATTTTTTCGGAGCCAAACCATCATCAGATTTAATGTGTAATTAAATAACTTGACTGACTGTGAAATACTTTTTGTTATTCTCAGATATTACAATAAATGTATTTGATCACTAAGCTTAATTGGACTACTGTAGTTTTTGGCTTAATGCAATTACCTTTTCTTGATCCAATATTCTGAATTAAAAGATGCAAGAAGTGCGCGTCAGGGTAAAGTATGTAGTAAATGATGACAACATTATATATGTGACCAGTTGAATATGTTTTTAATATTTACCCTGTAATCACAATACAGTAAATCCCTCTTCTGTCTATTTTGTGCAAAATGGTAAACAAACATGTTTATATGAATCTGTCAAAACGAAAAACACAACAAAACCTGTTGTTTGTCATTTAGGTAATACTTTTAGTATAAGTAACAACTCACATTATTATCTACTGGCTTATTACTTGTTTAATATTAAGATATTAACTGTTTATTAGCACTTATAAAGTATGATCTTATTCTACATCCCTACTCCATTACCTAAACCCAACTACTACCTTACTCACTATTAATAAGCAGCTAATTAGTAGTTCATTGAGCTAGAAGTTAATAGTTAATTATCTATTAGTTAATGCTTTGTTAATAGCAAGAATTGGAGCTTAAAACAAAGTGTGATCGTCATTTGTTTTCAATAATTTTGAATATTTAGTAAATTTGTAATTTTTTTTTCGGAGCCAAACCATCATCAGATTTTAATTTGTAATTAAATAACTTGACAGACGGTAAAATACTTTTTGTTATTCTCTGATAATAAATACATTCGATCACTAAGCTTAATTGGATTAATGTAGTTTTTGGCTGCATGCAAATAAATTATGACCTTTTTCTGATCCAATGTTATGAATTAAAATATGAAACAAGGGTACCTCAGGGTAAAGTATGTAGTAAATAAGGACAACATTATGTGGCCAGTAGAATATGTTTTTAATATTTACCCTGTAATCACAATACAGTAAATCCCATTTATTTTGTGCAAAATGGTAAACAAACATGTTTATATGAATCTGTCAAAGCAAAAAACACAACAAAACCCATTGTTTGTCATTTAGGTAATACTTTTAGTATGTGTAACAATTCACAGTATTATCTACTGGCTTATTACTTGCTTAATATTAAGATATTAACTGTTTATTAGCACTTCTACATCCCTACTCCATTATCTAAACCCAACTACTACCTTACTCACTATTAATAAGCAGCTAATTAGTAGTTCATTGAGCTAGAAGTTAATAGTTAATTATCTATTAGTTAATGCTTTGTTATTAGCAAGAATTGGAGCTTAAAACAAAGTGTGATCGTCATTTGTTTTAAATAATTTTGAATATTTAGTAAATTTTTAATTTATTTTCTGAGCCAAACCATCATCAGATTTTAATTTGTAATTAAATAAATTGACAGACGGTAAAATACTTTTTGTTATTTTCTGATAATAAATACATTCGATCACTAAGCTTAATTGGATTAATGTAGTTTTTGGCTGCATGCAAATAAATTATGACCTTTTTCTGATCCAATGTTATGAATTAAAATATGAAACAAGGGTACCTCAGGGTAAAGTATGTAGTAAATAAGGACAACATTATGTGACCAGTAGAATATGTTTTTAATATTTACCCTGTAATCACAATACAGTAAATCCCATTTATTTTGTGCAAAATGGCAAACAAACATGTTTATATGAATCTGTCAAAGCAAAAAACACAACAAAACTCATTGTTTGTCATTTAGGTAATACTTTTAGTATGTGTAACAATTCACAGTATTATCTACTGGCTTATTACTTGCTTAATATTAAGATATTAACTGTTTATTAGCACTTATAAAGTATAATCTTATTCTACATCCCTACTCCAGTACATAAAAACTACCATACTCTGTAAAAAATGCAGGCTTCCACACAATTCATTCATGTTGTCCCAACACAAATTGAGTTAACACTTTTAACAAACTTGTGTGTATTGAACATAAAAAAATTTAGTTGTTCCAATGAAATCTGAAGAATTGTGTTGTTCCAGTAGAATATGTTTTTAATCATTTATTTTCTGACAACAGAGTACCAATGTTTTAACTTCGGAGTAGTTAAAACTGAACAAAATGAAAACATTTGTTGGTATTTTCTGGAAAAATTGCTCTGAATGACAATATTTGGTCCCACTTTATATTTAGTGTCCTTAACTACTATGTACTTACATCAAAAAATAAATACAAAGTACTTACTGTGTTCATAATGTATTTGAGAACACTTGTGGTGCTTTTGAGTTGGGATAGAGGTTGGGTTATGGACAGGTTTGGTGGCATGGGTAGGTTTAAGGGTGGGTTAAGGTGTAAGGGATGGTCAACAGTGTATTTACAAATGAAATTACAAAAGTTAATTACAGATGTAAATACATACATGTATTTAATCAAGCTTAAGTACACAGTAAATACATGTATTTACACAATACGTACATTGTAACAAACTATTAATTCCTATGTAAGTACATATTAGTTAAGCCCAATGAAAATCTTGAGGAAATGTTTTCAAACCTTTTAAAATGTGACCACATAGAAACCCTGTAAATCTGGAGAAAACATTTTATATCTGGTGTGAAAAGTTAATATTTAAAGGCTACAGGACTTTTAGTGTAACCGGATCATAACTGGAGTCTCTAAATGGACACTAGTAGTTAAAGTTACATATTTCCCACAGTGATAGTACAGTCATCATTTGGCTCAAATACTTTATAAACTGTACTAAAGTAAGTCAATTGTATTAAACTGCAGCTAATATTATAGTATTTACAACACCTTGTTATTGAATGCCACAGCGTACTGAAGTATTACTCTAGTCAACTGATAAACTGTAATTAATACTATAGTATATTTTAGTTTCCGCTTCTGTAGTAAAATATATAGTTGCAAAAAACTTACTACAGTATTACATTTGGTTATATTACTGTAGTTGTTTGGTTACCGTAGACTAGTTCAGTGCCATTGGCTCATAAACATTTCTTGCTTGTTATTAAACTATTTCATAACTGTAACAAGAGGCAATGTTAAAACAGCTCTCATAACATTATTTATCAATATGTGGCTCTTGGATTCTCGAAAGCTATAGAAATTAAAAATGTAAAACAGGAAATACGTTGGGACTAGGGTTGTAACAATATACCGGTATGACGGTCTACCACGATTTGAACGTGCACGATTATCATACCATGAACAATTGCATATCAACGGTTTTAACCCTTAAAGACCGAGACAGCCGCCCGCGGCTAAAAATAAGTATTGCTCTTAAATGTTTAATAACTTTTGATAATCGCTGATCCGATTCATACAATTCAAAGATTGGCATAAAGAAGAGAATCTCAGCTTTCCAGTGCTGTATCACATAACATTCGACTTTCAGAGGCTCCGGAATCAGTGCGGTTACGTCATCAAAATTTGACAACGCTGATTTGACAAAGAAACGCTCGTCACTGTGTCTCCGGACAAATCAGACATGATACATTGATGCATTGTCCCTCCTCCATGCCCAGATTGGTTTAAACTCGCTATATCACAACCAATAAGCATAGGTTTCACTTTTGTTTGTGGACCAACAATGAGCTTTTTGAACAACACGGAATGAGAGATAGGCATACATTTCTGCGTGGCTAAATAAAACGCAAAGAAAAAAGTTTTGCATGAAATAATTCTCATACTAAGTACTTTTGCATGCACAGCAGCACAGAAACATGACAAAACAGTGACACAGCAAAGACGAACTGCTGCTCTTGCTGTTTTCAAAAGACGCAAATGAAGGTGCAGCTGTTTGTCTGCATTGCAGACAACCATATCCAAATCCATATCGATAGACAACCATATCCATGCTGGCACATAAAACCTAAGGATGTTCCATATTGAATCTAGTTTCGTTATGTAACTATTTATAGTATAGTAAATATTTATATCTATTTTTTTACTGAGGATTTGCACCATGTTTATTTGGACTTTATTTGGACTTTGACACATTATTTATTATTTTCTTATTTTTTTATTTGTTCATTGTAAGTGGTATTGTTTATAGTAACTGAAAATATATTATTTGGAAAAAGTCAAATTTGCTTCACTGTTCTATTATTTTGTAACATTTGTAACATACCGTATACCGCGAAACCGTCAAACCGTGGTATTGTTTTAGACGATTATCATACCGTAAAAAATTCATACCGTTACAACCCTAGTTGGGACCATTGTTTTTGTTTACATCCCTCAAAATGCTCTATAGAACTACCGCAACAGATTCATTCAAGTACTTTACAGTCAACACTGTAGCTTTTACTTTAACTTACTAGTGTTTTCCCTCTGCATGCTTATAATAAAGTCTCTGTTATCTTTATCTGAGTATGTGTTTTTTGGTTTGTTGCATCTTTCCAGAACCCAGGTTTCCAGAGCAGCTCTATAGTGTCTTTGTCTTTGTCGGAGCTCACTGGGAAACTGCAGGACGGCTCTCTGCAGCCTGATGCCGTGCTTTACGCTTTCATGGAGAAGGTGACTTCTGTCATGTTTTAACTTCGAATGCCTGCTTCAGAGATTTTTCAGAGTTAACATTATAGTTGCAAAACATTAGAGATGCACTACTTTTCTATGAAGTGTAGTGTGTTACTCCTGTTATGAATGTTAGATTTAGTCTGAGTAGGACATATACCTCGTATAAATAGTTTATAAAGTTGTAAAACGCATGTGGCAACAAAAATATCATTATCATTTGGTGCAGGCAAATTGTATTAATAGTCCAATTAAAATAATTTTAGTTTACACAATTTATTAAATTCCTAAAGAACACAAATGATGAATGCATCTCGTTATAACTGTTAATTAACTAATAGTAAAATCTACTGCTATTAATATGTATATAAGCAACAATATGAGTTTTAAAACCTCTTTAAAAATAAAGTCTATGTGTTTTATTTAATAAATATTTGATTTTAATGTTTTTTATTTTTTATTTACTACTAATATAGTATTACTGGTATGGTTAATACATTTTAAATACGTTTGAATTTATTTAGACATAGTGGAACTGTGTGTGTATTTATTAAAAACTGCTAAACTAACTTACATAACTAGAATTTTCATGGCATCTACAGTATATTCAATTCAATTCATGTTTATTTCTCTGGCGCTTTTACATTGTCGATTTAAGCAGCTGAACACAGAAGTTCTAGTAAATTAAACTGTGTCAGTCCAGTTTTCAGTGTTAAGCTTCAGTTTAGTTCAGTTCACCGTTTAAATTTCACTGCTGAAAGTCCAAACAGTGAGGACCAAATCCATCAATGCGCAGCTCCACAAGTCCCGACCCAAGCAAGCCAGTGGTGACAGTGGCGAGGAACAAACTTCACCAACTGATGAAAAAAAAAAAATATATATATATATATTTATACAACAGTTCTGTCTGGTTCTTGAATCTGATTGGCTTATAGCTGTGAAATATTTAAGTAATATCAGCACCAGTAAAGCCTCTTTACCCTTTGTGTATTACTCCGCCCACATACAACCAGCAAAAAGCAGACACTACAGATCTAAAGTTTAAAAGATGCATGCTCAGCTGTTTAACTGTCAGCTTATGATTTGAATCCGAGGCGGAAGAAAGTAGTTCCTCCTACAAAAGGGTTTTTGAGACTCTCCATGTTTGATTTTGTTTTTATATACACAATTATGTCGAACTGTTGTATAAACGCAATATCACACTCGTAGCAGTGTGATATGGCTGTATATCGGCACTGGTGGGGGCACTAAGGCAATCGGCCTGCGAGCATGCCAACGCACACCTCCCACCAGTGCCGATATACAGCCATAGCACACTGCTACTCGTGTTATATTGCTCATATATATATATTCATTTTCTTTTCAGCTTAGTCTTTTTATTAATCAGGGGTCACCACAGAAGAATAAACTCCCAACCCATCCAGCACATGTTTTACGCAGCGGATGCCTTTTCTAGCTGCAACTCATCTCTGGGAAACATCCATACACACTCATTCACACTTATACACTATGGACAATGTAGCCTACCTAAATCACCTCTACCGCATGTCTTTGGACTGTGGGGGAAACCGGAGCACCCGGAAACCCACGCGAATGCAAGGAGAACATGCAAACCTCACACAGAAACGCCAACTGACCCAGCCGCGACTCGAACTAGTGACTTTCTTACTGTGAGGCGACAGCACTACCTACTGCGCCACTGCATCGCCCAATATATATGTAGTATATTTGTTAAATAATAAAGTGCTTCATTTATCTTTGTTTATAATTCATTTTGGATAAAAGCATCTGCTAAATAAATAAATGTAATTGTCAAATGTAAATGGCTTTGTCATCCTGGATTATGACCATGAGATTCCTCTTTTGACTTGATTTGTATAAGAAATAAATACCCTAGTAATTCTTTAGTTAGTATAAGAAAGACAGATTATTATTAATCACTGTACTGAAGAGCCTCTCATTTGCCTGCTTCAATCCAAACAGACTCTGGAGGTGAACAGGAATCTGAACTGTGGCACTGAGATGTTGATGGAGTCTGTGGCACAACTGAAAGACATGAACACTCAAAAGAAAGGCCTTCTGTATGGAGTCCCCATCAGCATCAAGGACAATTTTGGATATAAGGTGATTATGATGATTAAAGGGATGACGCGAGATGTCTTTTGGTCTTGGGTAGGGCTCACCAATCTCGTTCCTGGAGGTCTGGTGTCCTGCTGATCTTAGCTCCAACTTGCCTCAACACACCTGCCTGGGTGTTTTAAGTATACCTAGTAAGACCTTGATTAGCTTGTTCAGGTTTGTTTGATTAGGGTTGGAGCTAAAATCTGCTGGACACAGGACCTCCAGGAACAAGTTTGATGATCCCTGGTCTAGGGGTTCCTTAACTTTTCAGCTCACATATACAAAGACATAAAACACACACACACACGTTTGTTTTTGTGAAAAGTGGGGACATTACCAACCCAAGTTCATTCTGGAAACGTAGCCCCGCGGACGTTTCTGGAGACCGCGATTAACGTGGCCGGAGGTACGTAAAGGCCGCGTTTGGTTTTTTTCGAGCGAACGCTGCGGGGTGGTGTGGCGCCGCTCCGCCCCTCCTCTTCGCGCTCGCCGGCCGACAGCTCGCCTCCGAGTGGAGGGCTTTCCCGACGCAATCAGTTTGTCCGCCTAGCTCACAGCGTTGCGTCGCCGGAGCGGAGGCCCTGGAGGAGGAGGACGAGCCGGAGCCGGCCGCGGTGGACGACGACTGGGATCGAGTCCGGGGAACAGCGGGTTCCGGAAATCAGGTGAGACGAAAAACGGAATCCGGAAAATGAGGGCGAGAACGCGGCGGGATCCGAAAAACGCGGTCGAAATCGGAGACGAGGGCTTTTGCTTTTTTTTTTTTTTTTCTGATCCGGTGGCTTTTCGCGCGAGAACGGCGCGGGCGCGAAACCCGAGACGTAAAAAAGCGCGCACAGCGGCCTCTCGCGGATCCGCGAAAACAAAAAAACGCTCGAATACGTACCTCCCGGGACGTAAATCGCAGTCCGCAGAAACGTCCGCGGGGCTACGTTTCCACAATGAGCCCGGGTTGGACATTACATAGGTTTCCATTCATTTTATACTGTCAAAACCGTATATCATATTGCCCTCACCCCATCCCACCCCTAAACCCAACCATCACAGGAGACGATGTGCAGCTTTGCTCTCTGATTAAACTCATTCTGTAGGATTTATAAGCTTTTTGGGAAATGAGGACATCATTAATGTCATATTTTACCTCCTTTTTGTAATACCTGTGTCATACCCATGTCATTATACAGATTTGTGTCCTGATATGTCACAAAAACACGTACACACGTGCACACACACACACACACACACACACACACACACACACAAAAAGTAAATTAAATGGTCAATGCACATATCTAAGTAAACCTGACAAAAAACTCTAAAGTTAGATGGTTCTTGTCTGAACAGGGTCATGATTCTTCATGTGGAGTGGTGAGTAAATTGGATCAGCCGGCGGTCATGGATAGTGTGATCGTTACAGTGCTGAAGAAGCAGGGAGCAATACCCTTCATCAAGACCAACATACCACAAGGTCTTCTCAAGTGAGTAAACAAAGTACAACCTGATCATATCGGGTGATTTGCAGGCCAAGGAGGGTCAATGATGTTAAAGGAAAGGTTCATTCAATAAAAAACATTTATAGTTCATTTACTCACCCTTGGGCCATTGGATATGTAGGTGCCTTTTTTTCTTCAGTAAAGCATTAAAGTCCCCATGAAATCAAAATAAAGTTCAGTATGTTAGTTTTAAGGATGTCTACAAGCTAATGTGCTCCAAAATAGTGACAGCATTTGCAATCGGAAGATATAAAGCAATTTGCAACAATACAGTTTGTCACTTTCGCCTAAATTGATAATTTTTACATCATCTCATGCTTCAGTTTCCTCATTAAATCATCTGACCAATCAAATGCTCTCTAGTATTTGACATGCCCCGCCTTTTTTCGCAACGCTTTCTCATTTGTTTTTCATTTGATGCGCTTGAGCTCAACCTCTCACTGGCAGACCTATGGTAAAACCAAAAGCTATTAGCTGTTATTTAAAAAGGGGAGGGGCTACTCAATGTCCCACCCCTTCCTAATGGTTCAGTTCAAATTATGTCACACAATGAACAAAAATGTGCGTTTCAAAGCTCTTCACAGGATCTTTAAAGGAGATTTTAACATGTATCTGTGCTTCTTGGTGATTGGTATAATGCATATCAATGGTCACACATTTTTGAGATTAAAAATAAACACATACAAACAAGTCTAAATCATTCTCAATGGCTCTTGATGATAAACTGATGTGCATGAAGGGAAATGATCAGTCCGTGTTAGAAACTGAACGTTATTTACAGTATTGTTAGCTTTAATTCACAGCTTGGACAAAAAGTTCTTGATCGTGCACATTAGCTCTTATAGAAATGTAATTTATGTCAATATATGCAAATTATATATAATATACAAGTTCATATTAGGGTTTCACATATATAGAATATATGTTATATCTACAACATATATTGCAAAAGCTATTTTCATATATTTTCAACCATTGGAATTACAAATATGTACAAATATGTTCAAATATATGTAGTGGACTTGGACTTCGTCCCTCACCACAAAGAATTCGCCGACACCACTTGCTTTGGTGGATCACGTCTGCACTATCCCCATTAACACTGAAGCAGATTAACAACTCAAAAATACATGACTACAAAGACACAAACTGGACATAATATCTTTTAACAATTGCATGACGATTTCAAAGACATAACCCACCTTTTTTTCACTATGTTTAAGGAGCAAATTTGATAGGAAAAGGATATATAATCTGCCATTAAAAAATGGACGCGGGCGGTAACTTAAACCAAGGCAATAACAGCTCACAACATCAAAACTCACTTTATACTGAAAAATAATGCTTAACAAGGACACTATTTGACTCAATCCATCATCAAAACATGTCATCCACTCATATGAACAAACATTTTAACCTAATCGACTATATTTTAACCTTTTATCACGGAGCACATTCACATCATACCTGTATAACACCCACACTGCTCCCCGCACAGTGCACGTCCTCTAGTTTGAATGCCGCTCAGGTTTAGTGCTATTGGATGTGGCTGGTTTTGGTTGTCTTTTGTCAGGGCATTCAAAACCTCCGTGTCCAGTTTTGAAACACCTTAAACTCAGCCTCTCCTTAAAACAGTGTGTCTTTGTGTTATGATTTCGAGCTCTGCAGCCCCCTCTAAGATAT